TTGAAGGAGGAGACAAAGTGCCATCACATGTACTTGTAGAGAGAGACAAGTGCCATCACATGTACTTGTAGGAGGAGAGAAAGTGCCATCACAAGTACTTGTGGGAGAGACAAGTGCCATCAATGTACTTGTGAGAGGAGACAAAGTGCCATCACATGTACTTGAAAGGAGGAGACAAAGTGCCATCACATGTACTTGTGGGAGGAGACAAAGTGCCATCACATGTACTTGTGGAGGAGACAAAGTGCCATCACATGTACTTGAAGGAGGAGACAAAGTGCCATCACATGTACTTGTAGGAGGAGACAAAGTGCCATCACATGTACTTGTGAGAGGAGACAAAGTGCCATCACATGTACTTGTGGGAGGAGACAAAGTGCCATCACATGTACTTGTAGGAGGAACAAAGTGCCATCACATGTACTTGTGAGAGAGACAAAGTGCCATCACATGTACTTTGTAGGAGGAGACAAAGTGCCATCACATGTACTTGAAGGAGGAGACAAGTGCCATCACATGTACTTGTAGGAGGAGACAAAGTGCCATCACATGTACTTGTGAGAGGAGACAAAGTGCCATCACATGTACTTGTGAGAGGAGACAAAGTGCCATCACATGTACTTGTGGGAGGAGACAAAGTGCCATCACATGTACTTGTGGGAGGAGACAAAGTGCCATCACATGTACTTGTGAGAGGAGACAAAGTGCCATCACATGTACTTGTAGGAGGAGAGAAAAGTGCCATCACATGTACTTGTGGGAGGAGACAAAGTGCCATCACATGTACTTGTGGAGGAGACAAAGTGCCATCACATGTACTTGTAGGAGGAGAGAAAGTGCCATCACATGTACATTGTAGGAGGAACAAAGTGCCATCACATGTACTTGTGGGAGGAGACAAAGGGCCATCACATTTACTTGTGGGAGGAGACAAGTGCCATCACATGTACTTGTGGGAGGAGACAAAGTGCCATCACATGTCTTGTAGGAGGAGACAAAGTGCCATCACATGTACTTGTAGGAGGAGACAAAGTGCCATCACATGTACTTGTAGGAGGAGACAAAGTGCCATCACATGTACTTGTAGGAGGAGACAAGTGCCATCACATGTACTTGTGGGAGGAGACAAAGTGCCATCACATGTACTTGTGGGAGGAGACAAAGTGCCATCACATGTACTTGTGGGAGGAGACAAAGTGCCATCACATGTACTTGTAGGAGGAGACAAAGTGCCATCACATGTACTTGTAGGAGGAGACAAAGTGCCATCACATGTACTTGTAGGAGGAGACAAAGTGCCATCACATGTACTTGTAGAGGAGACAAAGTGCCATCACATGTACTTGTGGGAGGAGACAAAGTGCCATCACATGTACTTGTGGGAGGAGACAAAGTGCCATCACATGTACTTGTGGGAGGAGACAAAGTGCCATCACATGTACTTGTAGGAGGAGACAAAGTGCCATCACATGTACTTGTAGGAGGAGACAAAGTGCCATCACATGTACTTGTGGGAGGAGACAAAGTGCCATCACATGTACTTGTGGGAGGAGACAAAGTGCCATCACATGTACTTGTGGGAGGAGACAAAGTGCCATCACATGTACTTGTGGAGAACAAAAGTGCCATCACATGTACTTGTAGGAGGAGACAAAGTGCCATCACATGTACTTGTAGGAGGAGACAAAGTGCCATCACATGTACTTGTGGGAGGAGACAAAGTGCCATCACATGTACTTGTGGGAGGAGACAAAGTCTGGTCAACATGTTTACCCCAATATTGCACAATTCCATTGCTAAGAATGTTGCAATAATATGTTGGCAATAGACTTATCATTTTTTCTGCACAGATCATCCTGTGGAGGTCACAGTGACACCTTCGTCTAGTTTTACTTACAGATTAAGACAAAATTCACTTCATAAAAAATAAAATTTCCAAAATTTCTTATTATGTATTTGTTAGTTGTATTTTATTACTATTCTTTCCTCATTATTCTTCACAAACATCATTAAAAATCTCAAGGGTTTAGAAGTAAAATTAACTCGACTCTTATTGACTATTTTGTTTCGTCTATGTTCATGATAATAAAAGACTTAAGTCGAGAACTTTTTTATTGGCATAAAACTGGAGATATCTGCGATAATTAAAGACAACCATAAACTTAAACCATCAATAAAAACCTCCAACAATGTTTTCTTCTCCACAAAACATCAAGTGTCACCATAATTTTTTCCCACTGACAACACGGGAATAAATTTAATCTTGTAACTGATATGTTGTTTTTCTTTCTTATAATGGAAATATAATCAGACTTTTAATAAACATTTAAAATAAATTATTTATGGGATAAAAATTTATAGGCTAGTTTACACCTGTGTTGTCTATATGACAGCTGTCACTATGACACCTCAAGGATGTATGACTCATTGTTTACCATTCTTGTTTATAAACAATTATCTAAAACAGTGTATCGATGTGCAATATATTTTGATAAGAAATACTCAGTGCATTTTCCACTTCTATACAAAAACATTTAAACAATATATAATATTATATATATATAATATATATAATATATATATATTATATATATAATATATATATTATATATATATATATATATATATTAATATATATATATTATATATATATATATATATATATATATATATAGATACCTTCCTCTTCTGGATACGTAAGCCAACCAGGAACAGGGACTTTAGCCATATTAATGACTTCCTTACTCGTGTGGGCGAGACGTTGTGGTTAATATAGAAAGTTTCACACTGTGGTGCTGAGCCTGAGATCTTCATAAAATATTTGAATTAAACACTTTATATTATTAATTTTCAAACCTTGACACCTGTGTTGCTTCTGTGACACCTGTGTTGCTTCTGTGACACCTGTGTTGCCTCTGTGACACCTGAGTTGCCTCTGTGACACCTGTGTTGCTTCTGTGACACCTGTGTTGCTTCCGTGACACCTGTGTTGCCTCTGTGACACCTGAGTTGCCTCTGTGACACCTGTGTTGCCTCTGTGACACCTGAGTTGCCTCTGTGACACCTGTGTTGCCTCTGTGACACCTGTGTTGCTTCTGTGGCACCTGTGTTGCCTCTGTGACACCTGAGTTGCCTCTGTGACACCTGTGTTGCCTCTGTGACGCCTGTGTTGCTTCTGTAACACCTGTGTTGCCTCTGTGACACCTGTGTTGCTTCTGTGACACCTGTGTTGTCTATGTGACACCTGTGCTGTCTATGTGACACCTGTGCTTTCTATGCGACACCTCTGTTGTCTATGTGACACCTGTGCTGTCTATGTGACACCTGTGCTGTCTATGTGACACCTGTGCTGTCTATGTGACACCTGTGCTGTCTATGCGACACCTGAGCTGTCTATGTGACACCTGTGCTGTCTATGTGACACCTGAGCTGTCTATGTGACACCTGTGCTGTCTATGTGACACCTGTGCTGTCTATGTGACACCTGAGCTGTCTATGTGACACCTGAGCTGTCTATATGATACATGTGCTGTCTATGTGACACCTGAGCTGTCTATGTGACACCTGAGCTGTCTATGTGACACCTGAGCTGTCTATGTGACACCTGAGCTGTCTATGTGACACCTGTGCTGTCTATGTGACACCTGTGCTGTCTATGTGACACCTGAGCTGTCTATGTGACACCTGTGCTGTCTATGTGACACCTGAGCTGTCTATGTGACACCTGAGCTGTCTATGTGACACCTGTGCTGTCTATGTGACACCTGTGCTGTCTATGTGACACCTGTGCTCTCTATGTGACACCTGAGCTGTCTATGTGACATCTGAGCTGTCTATGTGACACCTGTGCTGTCTATGTGACACCCTGACTGTCTATGTGACACCTGAGCTGTCTATGTGACACCTGTGCTGTCTATGTGACACCTGTGCTGTCTATGTGACACCTGTGCTCTCTAGTGACACTGAGCTGTCTATGTGACATCTGAGCTGTCTATGTGACACCTGTGCTGTCTATGTGACACCTGTGCTGTCTATGTGACACCTGTGCTCTCTATGTGACACCTGAGCTGTCTATGTGACATCTGAGCTGTCTATGTGACACCTGTGCTGTCTATGTGACACCTGTGCTGTCTATGTGACACCTGTGCTGTCTATGTGACACCTGTGCTGTCTATGTGACACCTGAGCTGTCTATGTGACACCTGAGCTGTCTATGTGACACCTGTGCTGTCTATGTGACACCTGTGCTGTCTATGTGACACCTGTGCTGTCTATGTGACACCTGTGCTGTCTATGTGACACCTGTGCTGTCTATGTGACACATGTGATGCCTATGTGACACCTGTGCTGCCTATGTGACACCTGTGCTGCCTATGTGACACCTGTGCTGCCTATGTGACACCTGTGCTGTCTATGTGACACCTGTGCTGTCTATGTGACAGCTGTGCTGTCTATGTGACACCTGTGCTGCCTATGTGACACCTGTGCTGCCTATGTGACACCTGTGCTGCCTATGTGACACCTGTGCTGTCTATGTGACACCTGTGCTGTCTATGTGACACCTGTGCTGTCTATGTGACACCTGTGCTGTCTATGTGACACCTGTGCTGCCTATGTGACACCTGTGCTGCCTATGTGACACCTGTGCTGTCTATGTGACACCTGTGCTGCCTATGTGACACCTGTGCTGTCTATGTGACAGCTGTTACTATGGAACCCCAAGAATATGCAACTGAATTTTTTTTGCAGTGTTGCTTAGAAATAATTATTAAATCAAAACAGTGATGAGAAATATAAACATTGCCTAAATATGTATTACTTAAACAGAGTTTTGCAGTTATGAAAACATCATATTTGCCAAAAAATAGGAATGTAATAATGATGAAGTGAGACAAAGGACATCTGCACTAGCTCTTAAAATATATTTTGAGTAAATATTTGAGTTCTGAGACACAATGTAGTATAACTTCTCACATCTATAGTGATGATCATACATTTTTGGGTACATTTGGACTTCAAATCATAATTTGAAAAAATTCACATTCGAACAAATAATTCTATGAAGAATTAGTCACAGTACAGAACATGGAAAAAACCATAAACATCCCACAATATGGATGGGAAACAAGACAAAAATAAGAGAGAATAAACTTTATGGAACAGAGAGCAGATAGGATGTAAAAATAAAAATAAGTCCTTTGAACAGATTGTTCATTAAAGGAAAGGTAATAAATGTACATACCACTGTACTCAGGCCTCTCAGTGGACTTTTCCTAGAAATATGGTAACATTATGAAGGGAGGCATTAGTTAAGAAAAAAATCTTTATTTAGACTCATCATTCTTACAGGGCTTTATAACCCCTACTGGTTTGTCGCCAATGTGAATGAAAATGCATTTTATAGGCAAGCTGTGACATCTTTCTTCACATTAAAGAGTAAAAATGACAAAAGTGCCTAGAAAAATAATCAATAAAATGAGTGATAATTTATGGTAACCAGACAAAGAACAGCTAAATGCGTAGATACAATTGACAAGACCCGAGTCAGGAAGACTGGTGTGTAGCAGAGTTGGTGATGTTTTGTACTGAGTTCTTTTTATGTCATCAACAAAACTGATGACAAGAGGTGCTTTAAGTTTGAAAATTAAAGACAGATCATCAATCAAGGTCTACTATTCCTCTTTACTGCCATAATTTTCCTAATCGCAGGTTCATGACATTTAATTTCATTAATTTTCCTACCGGGCATTTTCTGATAATTAATTTGTTATTGTTTCTTCCTCAGTGTTCTCCTCGTCTGTCAGACTGACTCTGTCCACTTGGAAATTTATTTTCCTTTCGGTTTATTCTGTCTTGCCATTCAACAAACATGAAAAACTCTAAATAATCTAATGTAAAATGAACTTTCTTCTTTCCCAAATCAACTTCTAAACTGAAGATAGTTATACTCCTCATGCCTTGACTTTCTCATTTAGAAAATTTTAATAATCCTTCGTTTCTCTGGATAATAAACTCACACAAATAACCCGCACATAAAAGAGAGAAGCTTACGACGACGTTTCGGTCTGAATTGGAACATTTACAAAGTCACACTAACGAAAGCAAGCAAGGATACTCCCAGGTAAGACCCATGTGGGTGAAAGGGAGATTTGGACAGAGGAAGATAAGTGAGTGAGAGGAAGTGATAAGAGAGTGGAGAAAAAGTGCCAGGGCTAAACCCAGCTGCGTAGCGTTGGTTGGCAAGGTAGAGGGAATAGATGCTGGACCCTGCTGACTGCAAGAGAGTGTTTGGCGCAATGAAAGTACTGGACTGGGTTTGGGAGGCAAAGAACATTCACACAGGTGCTGGCATAAGGTCAAGGCTGGTTTACTGTTATCTGCTTCTCAAATGCGATATGGATGGGAGAGAGGGGGACATGGAAGTTGGTTTGGTAAAACGGACGTCTTTGAGGTCCTCCCCTGCAGAGGGCAGGGCAGAAGGTTAAGAATTAGAGGGGGGGGGGCAGGATTGTTCATTGACTGGAATAGGTTTAGAGTGTTGTATGGCCGTCTAATGACTTCGTCAAGGAAACGTCGTCGTAAGCTCCTCTCTTCTGTGTGCGGGTTATTTGTTTATCGTTCCAGTCACGGTATTGAGCATTTTTTTGTTATTTAATAAACTTACACTTCGAAGCAAACCGTTACATATTTCTGCCACCAATACTTCTGATTATTACTCTGATTTCCTGCTCCTCTTTCCCTTATAATAGTTTTTCGAAACAACGAAAAAAAAACTAGGAAATTCTTAAAACTAAATTAATTTCGGGAAAAAATGCCAGTCCCAGTGGTGTTATAACCTTATCTTTTATATGATTATCAACATTCAAGTAAATGATATTTGAGAGTTTAATTGGACTACGTTATTAATATTATAAGACTTAAAAATGTTTACTTCAGTGTATGATCAACATTTTAACTGGTGGATGGGCGAGATTTATCTGGAAATGCCTGTGAAACGAATAAAGTCCTTTATGTCCTTACTGGAGCAGTTGACTGACACCTTCCTGATTGGTGACTTAGACAAGTGACTGACTGGTGACTTTTGGTGACTGGTGTAACTGGCTGACATTGTTCTCTGTGGACACTGCTTCAAAACAATAATTTTTTTTAGGATTCTATTCAATATTTATTTTATTGCAGCACTTCCTTCTTCAGTGATGTTTGGATGTGCAAGAATTTTCCTCTTGTTTATCTGCAGTAGCGATATGATACAGACATTGAACAATTGATCGTGATAAAAAAAAACACTTGTTAAGTTCGAAACCTTTAAAATGGAAGTGCTGAAGATAAGTGCTAATGAGTTTAGCCTGGAGGGAGTGTGAGACTCCATATCGAACCACTGTCATTTTCCCTTCTAGTTTATTTCTATGTGACAGACAAGGAAGTAAATAGTCGACATGCTCTGCACAGAGACGTACTGCCCGAGAATGGGTTGTGATGACTTCAACGTTACTATCTGACCAACTTTTCCTGGTCCGGGAAAGGTTCCCAGCAGCGTGTATGAAGTGAAGTTTCCTGCTTGCTGAGTGCTTCCTACCCTCACCTCGATTTTCAGAAATTGTGATTGCGCGTAAACATTATTCTGGGCGATCAGGAGGACCGTACTTACATATACAGGACGTTTTAAATTTAAGAGGAACCAGGGTTGAAATCCATAGGATGTGCAAAAGCAACTGCTCTCAATCAAGTTGTAGACTCCGTCAATGAGGTTTTTGAGTACTCTAGTAGAGTCTACAGGCGCTGTCGAGGTAATAGAGGCTCCGAAAGCATACTCAGGTAGGAGGGAGTGAGCAGTATAACAGAAACGGACGTTAGTGGTCTGGTTGGTTTGATGGGACCCAGAGACGATGAGGTTAGTGAGCTGGCAGCCAAGGACTCCGTCGTGGCACCAGAGACTACACCAGTCCAGGGATGCACATGTCCAGGCACACCTCGTGGTAGTTATAGAATAGTTCTGCTGCGTAATACTGCTGATGAACCACGAAGACTCGACGTTGACGCTTCGCCATAACTGAAGGTCCTCCCCGAGAGCCTGCTGGACAGTCGCCAGGAACCACCACAGCAACACCGGATTCATCTTCTTCACTTAACTTCACACTGCCGGTGAAAAGAGTTCAATACAACCCAGCGAAAATCAGCTGCTGATTGCCAGCTCCCAACTGTTCACGCCAAACGAATAAAAATTTTATGCAAACTCTGTAAACTTCCTAATCAAAAGTTGCTGTAACTAGAAAAAATCTCAGCTTTTGAAGTTTATAGGTCCACACTCCTAGGAGGCTTCAATGACCAAGCAAACTCAATGTTAACTCAGGTTAACGTTGATCGTCAACGAAGGTCAGTGGGACTGTTTATAAGGATACGTGAAGCTCACGGGGCCAGACACTCAAAAAATGGTATTGACAGTGAGCAGCTAATGTTACTTCTGCTGGTTGTTTAGACCTCAGTAGTGTCAGCAACAATACTGCCTGCCTCCACTACTGTCTGAGACCAATAACAGATGTCAGAGAGTATCATTGTTTCGCAAGTTAGAGTGCGTGTCTCAAAATAATGTATCGTGTCACTGAACAGTAAACCCAAATATCTAAACCCATCATTATCAGACGACTGTAAGGAAGATATTTCAATATATTGATCTTTATTATATTGAAATATTCAACTAATTTGAGGTAATATTTATTTCAATTCATTAATATGAAGTAGATTCAGCAATTAGGATAGAGTTTAGTGGATAACTAAAGTATTTGATGGGTTATTTTTCTTCCTATAAGCTCCAAGACTTTCACGTGACAACTTGAGAACGCTTTGCATGGAAAGTTTGGATTTTTACTAAAATATGTACGTATCGGTTTGCTATCCTGTTCTAAATTGTCTTGTGGAAAATTACATTTATCTGAATGTATCATTATGTACATAACAGTAAATGTACACAGATAATTATTATTTATCAGTTAGACAAGTAGGAATTTGGGACACCTAGGTCGCAAAAAATATCCCCCTTCGATACGTACCACTGTCATATCCACAAGTTGCTTTGGACCTATTAATTACCAATGAAATATGTATCACCAGGAATACTGGTAAATATATAAATTTGTGGACTGTATATTAAAAATAATAAATGATTATATATATATACACAATTACATAACAGAAGGGAAATATATCTTAATATCATTCACCAATTTGACTGGAGATTAATGTGTCATGTACAGGACCCCCCCTTTGCCTACATTTATGAAAAATTTACTGGCCAGAATTTAAACATAAATTAGACAGCTTATCTGAGGTTCCTGGAGTTGTCCTGTCCTGTCGCCTGATACTCAAGTTATGCAGGAATGCACATCCAACAATTTCACCTCCTATTTGAGAGGTGTCAACCCAATTTTAACCTCTAGAGCATGAAAAATTCTTCACATTACACTAACGTTCTGTTCAATTCAAACAGCAATAGCGACTGTCTCTTCTGCGCAGACGCAGGCTTTCCACTTTCTATGACATAAATATTATTAAATACAGTATGGACATCTATTTACATATAACTACTGTATTTCTGGAAAATATATACGGTATTTTTCACACTGCGGCCGGGCGGAGTTCGTTGCTAAACGACTCAAATTACTCCTTCCTTTAGGAGACGATTCCAGCCGGTTCTGGCTTGAGAGGCTGTTCTCCTAGTAGGTCTTACTACGATTTCATTTTCCTGCATCATTTGGTCAGTGTCACCCTCCGTATCACTCGTGTCACTTTCCCTCAGATTTTCATTTACGTTTGTTTGAGCACCAGTTAATTCCAAGGGAATCAATTTATTAATTGTCTATAAACTTTCCTGGCCACGACACAACACTTTGACATTCCTGACAACACCTTGTGCATCTGGGTACAATGTCAATACTTTGCCCAGAGGCCACAATGTTCGATGTTGTTCAGTATCAATCAACACAATGTCACCTGGTTGAATGTTCTGTCGATTTACTGCCTCTGTCGCACCATAAAAGTGTTCACGTAGTGTAAGAAGATATTCCTTATGTCACACATTAGACCAATGACCAATTACTTTATTTAATATTTTAAATTTATTACACAACACTGCCGCATCATTGTGATCTTCATCACTTTCTTCCGGATTATCTCTATAGACAGGGGCAGCTTCCAATTTCCTCCCACATATTAGGTGAGAAGGTGTTAATACATCTGCATCAGGTGTATCACTCATGTACGAGAGAAGCCTATTATTTATACGATTTTCCACCTCCACTAACACTGCACGGAATTCTTCCAAATTAATTCTCTTCCGGTGTAGTACTTATGGAGACACCTCTTCACTGTGCCTATCAGTCTTTCGTACAGCCTCCCCTGCCAAGGGGCTCCAGGAGTAATAAATTTCCAGGTACACCCTCGCTGGGTTAATAGAGATTGAACATCGTTGCTATTATTTAATTCTATCAAGTGTTGAGCACCTGCTACAAAATTTGTGGCATTATCCGAAATCATCAATCTCGGACAGGATCTCCTAGCTGCAAATTTTCGAAACAGTTGTATAAACTGTTCTGCAGACAATTTCTGTGCCACTTTTAAATGAGCTGCCCTAGTAGCAGTACAGGTGAACAAACAAACATACACTTTCAGTGGAACACCATTTGACGTACCTGTTAAAATTATTGGACCACTATAGTCTACACCTGTTACATCAAATGGTTTCACTAATTGTACACGCTCCTTTGGCAATGGTGGAGGACCTGGGTACATATAGGATCTGGCATCCACACGGCGACATATTACACAAGATTTAATCACCCTTTTTATGCTTTGCCGTCCTTGTGGAATCCAGAAAGTTTCCCTAATACAATGTAAGGTATCTTGTACCCCAACATGCATTACATTTTTATGGGCATTTAGAACAATCAAATTTGTTAGATGATGAGTTTTGGCCAGTAAGATAGGATGTTCAGCATAATCACCCAATTCAGCATTTTGAAACCTACCTCTGCACCTTATTACATTGTTCTCTAAATACAGCCCCAATTTCTCTATTATGGAACCTTTCACAATTTTTCTTTCCATCATCAATTTAATCTCATTTCCATGGATTTCCTCCTGTACCCTCTTTATCCAATATTCAAGAGAATGTGAAAACTTAAATGAAATATTCATCTTGTTTAGAAATTTAAACACCAACTTAGTTACATTGATTAGTTTGGGTAAGGAAGAATACCTATTTATATCAATGGCTAAGGGAGGACAAACTATTGGAGTGGTGGTCACAGTAATTTCAACAGGAGCAATATACGCCTTTTGTACAGGAAAATTAGCTTTATTTGCCAACCACCTCGGTCCTTTAAACCATGATACAGCATTTACAAATTTAGCATAAGGTAAACCTCGAGACAAGAAATCAGTTCGATTCTCCTCACCAGGTATATGATTAAATGTTAACATATGCTGACCCAAACTATTATACTTCTCTTTCATCTGATTAATTTCAGCGACTCTGTTTTGTACGTACACAATTTTACTGTTTCCATTACGAATCCATTGTAAGGATACCTCATTATCAGACCAAATTACAGTGTCGCTAATATTTATCTCCTGCAACTTATTTCTTATATAATTAGCTAATTTGACACCTACATAAATGGTGTTAATTCCAACTGAGGTAAAGTACGTGATTTAATTGGAGACACTTTAGCCTTAGATATAACAAAAGAAATAACACTATTACATTGAAGGTAAGCAACTGCTCCATATGCCAATTTTGAAGCATCACGAAAAATATGGAGTACATTTTTCCCATTTGGATTGGCCACCTGGCGTGGGAACTCCAACATTGGAATTTTTTCATAATCACCAATTAATTCATCCCACCTGTTAATGAATTCCTCAGGTAGAATTTCATCCCAAGCACATTTAAGTTTCCATGCTTCCTGAATTAATAATTTCCCTCTTATAGTGAGGGGTGACACTAAGCCTAGTGGATCAAAACATTTGGAAACTTCAGCAAGCAAAACTCTCTTAGTTAATTTATTGGGCATACTGTAATTATTAGGTTTTAACATTAACAAATCTCTCTCAGTATCCAGGGAAATCTTTACTTATTTTGTCCTTTAATTTGGACGAATTACTATTCCATTCCCTCAGAGGCATATTTGCACTTTGCATTATTTTATTAGCCTCTCCATAAGTCATTAACAGTTCCTCTTCAGTTTGACGTCACACCCAGGAAATTGTCCACATAAAATTGTTTGCTCATTACTTTACTCAATGGACTTCGTACGTTTAAGATGTGCATTTATCGTCGCTTGAAGTAGGAACGGAGTGGATGTAGCACCAAATAATACGCTCCTAAAGCGAAAGGTTTTCAAAGGCAAGTGGAGTCACTAGGATTCTCAGGCCATAAGAAGCGGGTACAATCCCGGTCAGCCTCTTGTAAACCCACTCTTAGGAAAGCTTTACTTATGCCAGCCGTAAGGCATAGTGCTTCACTCTGAAATTTAATAAGTATCCCTAATTTTTCGTCAACGACGAAGCTGTCATCAAACAGTCATTAAAACTAGGTACATTTTTGTTACTCTGCACTACAATTAAACACAATCCTCAAAGGAGTGGTCTTAGACTCTCTTCTTCACTCCGTGATGTGGCAAATAGTGACCATAAATTTTGGCTTGCTCAGGAGGTACCTCTTCTATAAATTTATTAATAACTGCTCAGCAATTATATCATCATAGGCAGTTAACAATTCTGGTGTCTTACTCAGTTCGCGGAGCTGAGCCTTTAATTGTCCATAGCCATTCTGTAATTAGTGGGCAATTCTGGATGGTTTCAGTCTCCACGGAAGTCGTACCCAGTATTGTCCAGATTCAAATTTTACATCTCTCAGGTATTGACTGAGTAAAAGAATCATCTGGACTCTCTTCATTTACATTTTTCCATTGCTGTCTAATTCCCACAATTTATGCACTGGCTCAACACCATCCTCTATGGAAGAATTATACTGGGGCACAATTTCATCGAGTAAGTCACACAGTTATGTATTTGTAGTTTCCTCTAGTCATGTATTATTATTACGAGGAATCCTACCATACATTACATGGCCTCCTGCAGTCTTCAAAAGGGTGAACCACATTTCTTACCATACCTTGACAAAGGAGCATAATAGTCATACCTATCAAATATTTATTGGGCTACAGAATCATCACTTACACCAGAAGGGCTAATTTACATTATGTGAGAGTCTTTCTGTAGCTTTACTAAGCCCTACTGTAGATATTTTCTCTGGAAGTCTATCTACAATTACTGCATTAACACGTTTTTTCCCATTGCCCAACCTGACAGTTACATAAACAGTGTCATACAATTGGCCTTTTATCCGAGAGAAAACCAGATAATTTTAAAGTTGTGGGATCTCCCATCTGTTATTTCATACCATCAAGACATTTATGTT